AGTTGACTAAAACACATGCTATAATGTATATACATATCAAAACAGCACATTGTATACCTTTAATGTATACAATAGTTTTGTCTGTTATATCTCAATAAAGCTGGAAATAAGCTAACAAACAGAATAACAGGATCAGGCATTAAAGAAAAATATTTGAAAGTAGGAGAAATAAATAATAAAAAATAAAAGTTATACATTTAAAAAGACACCCAAATAGACATTTTGAGATCCATAAGAACCAAGGTAAGATATATGTCTGAAAGGTGATACAGATATTCATTTGGAAAGGAAAGTTAATCACAGTATTTGTTCATTGTTTATCTTTTAATTAATATATTTTGTTCATAAGAAATTTAAAAATTACAGCGTAGTGGCTTAGAAGCATCCCCAAAGTCAACTTGAATTAAGTGATTCTAGGAGTTAGCACACAAAGCAATTGCCTAAGAGTTCATCAGAGGACTGAGTATCAATAAAACATTATATTAGGATTCCTCAGCTCTATTCTATAGTACAAATTTTTGGTCATAGTTTAGATATAGTACTATAGGTGAGATAATATCTAGTGTAGCATAAAGTATATGAATGAACTTGGAGTAATCAGAGGATCTGGGTTAAAGAAACAATCTGGTTGAGCTGATCAAACTTAGGGTTTGAATGCCAGCTCCTGTACTTAACTGCCTACATGACATTATCAAATTAATTAAATCTCACTAGGTCTCAGTCCTTATCTGTAAAATGGGATTAACAATAAGGCCTAATTCCTAAAGTTATTGGAATATTTAAATGAGATGATTGAGGTATATTACATAAAACATAGGGTTTAATATTAGTTTTATTGTTTCCTCACTATGCTACTACTACTTAAGATATGACTTAAATTAGGCTCCAAAGTCTCAATTTTCTCACCTGTAAAACAGGAATAAAAATACTGCACCTGACTTCTCCACAATATCAAATGAGATAACTTACATAAAAGTGTCTTGTAAAGGCACTATGTAAGTTGCACGTGAAGGATTCCTATTAGTACATGCAATTGTATTGTTGTTTCCCATAACTGTTAGGGATCATCTCAAATTTAGAGCTTGAAATCTAAAATGAAATTCATAGTCATCTCAGTTATTGCAATTTTCCAGCTTTTTGCTTTATCTGTCTCTGTACCTCCATCAAAAAGTGGGAAAAGGAGCAGACATGGTGGTGCATGGCTATAATCTCAGTCACTGAAGAGGCTAAGGCAGAAGGATTACAAGTCCAAGGCCAGCTTGGGCAACTCAGCAAGACCCTGTCTGAAAAAAAATATGAAGGGCTGGGAATACAGCTCAGTGGAAGAACATCTTGGGGTTCAATCCCCAGGACCACAAAAAAGAAAAGCAAGCAAGTAAGTAGTGGGAAAGGGGCTAGGGGTACAGCTCCAGCAAATTGGTTCTTACTGATCTCAAAATGTCTTGGTAGAACACTTGCCAAGCATTCACGAGATTCTGGATTTGATCCCCAGCCCCACTAAATAAAGAAATAAATAGGAATCAAGAAAGCTAAATTAAAATTCGTCAGTTCTACTGTTAGTATCTATGGTGAAGGATTCCATGCTGCTTTATCCTTTGGTTATTAAAGATTCATGCTATCCATGACCTCTAGGAAATTCCAAGATCTTCTCTCATTTTTCTTTTTTTTAAAAAGTGTTTTTGAGATTAAAAAATTATTTATTCTAATTGGTTACACATGACTTGTACATTGCATTTTGAAACATCATACATAAATGGAGTATAACTTCTCATTCTTCTAGTTGTACAATGTAGAGCTACACAGGTCATGTAATCATATATGCACATAAGGTAATCATGTCTGATTCATTCTATTATCATTGATACCCCCATAAACCCTCCCCTCCCTTCATTCCTCTCTATCTAATCCAAAGTATCTCTATCTACCCCACCTTGTTGTGAATTAGCATGTGCATATCAGAGAAAATATTTGGCCTTTGGTTTTTTTAGGATTGGCTTATTTTGCTTAGAATGATATTCTGAGGTTCTATTAATTTACCAGCAGATACCATAATTTCATTCTTCCTTATGGCTGAGTTATACTCCATTGTGTGTATATATACCACAATTTCATTATCCCTCATCTGTTGGAGGGCACCTAGGTTGGTTTCATAGTTTAGCTATTGTGAATTGAGCTGCTATAAATGTTGATGTGGCTGCGTTACTATAGTATGCTGATTTTAAGTCCTTTGAGTATAAACTGAGGAGTTGGATAGCTGGGTCAAATGATGGTTCTATTTCAAGTTTTCTGAGGAATATCTATACTGCTGTCCATAGTGCTTGCACCAATTTGCAGTCCCACCAGCAATGTATGAGTGTACATTTCACATTTTTGCCACATTTATTGTTACTTGTATTCTTGATAATTACCATTCTGATTGAAGTGAGATGGAATCTCAATATAGTTTTTTAAAAATTATTTTTGAAGTTGTAGATGGACAGAATGCCTCTATTTTATTCATTTATTTTTATGTGGTGCTAAGGTTCGAACCCAGTGGCTCACACATGCTAGGCAAGTGCTCTGCCACTAAGCTACAGCCCCAGCCCCTCAGTATAGTTTTTTTTTTTTAAAGAGAGAGTGAGAGAGGAGAGAGAGAGATAGAGAGAGAATTTTTAATATTTATTTTTTTTTTAGTTCTCGGTGGACACAACATCTTTGTTGGTATGTGGTGCTGAGGATCGAACCCCGGCTGCACGCATGCCAGGCGAGCGCGCTACCGCTGAGCCACATCCCCAGCCCCCCTCAGTATAGTTTTGATTTGCATTTCTCTAATTGCTAGAGATGTTGAATATTTTTTTCATATATTTGTTGATTAATTGTATTTCTTTTTCTGTGAAGTGTCTGTTCAGTTTCTCATTTTTCTTTTTATGTGTTCTAGCACCTGGCAAATAGTAAAGGCTCAATCAGTATTTGTTATCTGAATTATTTCATGAATCTATAGGAATGTGTAAAGAAGACTAGATTTGGAGTCAAAAGAATAGAGTTCATGTTTTGGCTCTGTTCCTTTTTGGATGTGTAATCTTGGACAAATTCCTTTAGGAAACAGAATTATACAGATATTGTCCATAAATGGGTATTGGAAATCCTAAAGATTTTTTGAAATTTAAATGAGACTGTATATAACTCTTTGTAAATTATAAAACATCAAGCTTAAAGTGTTGTTATGATTAATAATTAGTGAATTTTGCCTTTAAAAAGCCTTAAATGGGGACTGAGGTTGGAGCTCAGTAGTAGAGCACTTGCCTAGCACATGTGAGGCACTGGGTTCAATTATCAGCACCACATAAAATAAATAAATAAAGTTATTTTTTAAAATCCTTAAATAAATTTCCTATATAAATAGACCTGTTAATGCTTATTTGTTAATATAGGTAAATGTATGCACAAGGGCTTACTATGAAAGTGAAAAGAAGACATACTGACAACTGTACTGTTCTAATTCATATTCTGTGGTATTCACAATAAGGTCACATGCCTGATTAGACACTGGACAAGACTACATCGCAGTTTTGGTTCTGAGATGTCTTATAATACCATTTTAAATTCATGACTGCATTTAAATTACTGCTAATGATAAAATACTGCATTTCAATGTTTTCCCTAAGAGTATTCATGTGCAAAATAGCCATTCAATTGTTCCTGTCCACTTCAAGTTAGCAGATGCCACTTTGAAACCCAGAGACTCTTTCCTTTGTATTATGTACTAGGTTAATAGATGTACAATCTTACAAATCAGGGTTACAATTCTAGGTTGTAATTCTTATCATCCAATCAAATTTAAACTCTACACTCTAGTTACAAGTTAATAGTATACAGACCTGGAGGGTGAAGTATAAAACAGATATTGAAGGAGGAAATAGCACTAATAACAATACCAAACAACAAATTAACACACAGAAAATGAAAAACACAGAGCCAGATCAAGGCTCAAGTCCTGTTAAAGAACAGGATGTTTCTACTGTTATTCATACTTCTCTAAATCTCTGCACATGTGGTCATGTTCCTCTGTGGAAGGAGGAATTTTAAGAATTGACTTTTTGGAAGGCAAAATAGAATTACAGAATGTCAAAAGTGGAAGGACATTCAGGGGCCAAATAGTGCTTCTCACTTTATAGATGGGGAAAGTCATGCCCAGAGAATGGAAAGGGCTTGTCAAATGTTGTCCAATAATTTTTTGGCAGAATTAGCACATTTCTGACTTTCAAATTGTATTTCTTAACAAAAGCAGCGTATAATGTGCTCTCAAAGACTACCATTTTTAAAAATCACAATCACTGAGTTGTTAAGAACAAAAATTCTTGGTTCCCATTTCAAATCTTCTGAATCACAATCTCAAAGATGGGTCATGAGAACCTGCATTTTAACAAGCTCTACATTTGTTCTCATATACACCGAGTTTTGAAAAGTAGTGAGTCCACACACTTAAGAAAAAAAGCATCTTTCCACGTATTTAAAAGAAACAAATTGGTAGTGGATCTGAAATAGCATCAGAATCCCCATGGTAACGTGTGCAATGAAGGGCCCAACCAATCCAGGTAAGAAAAGCTTTAGCAGTCAAGCACACTTATGAAGCTGCAGCTTGTTCAACAGTCTAATAGGGAACAGACCCTTCATCAGCATGCCAGGTGTTTTTTTTACTTCCTCCTTTAGTTACAAAGACAAACTATTCTGAAGATGCCTTTAATGAAGTATATTTTCTCTGCCTAGACAAAAAGTCTGAAAACATGTGCCTTAAGTGGGTGATCTAATCCCCACTTCTCCTGGCTGTACCCATTACCCCAAATGTGGAAGACCTATAAGCCCCTGGAAGACCCAGAAACCAGGCGTTCCTGGCAAAGCAGCCTTTGCAGGCTATGTGCTGGAATCCACGCAGCATAGTTGACTCAAAAGAGTTAACAAGCAGCCTGCTTTAGAGTGGCAGGGAGAGAGGCCAATAGGGTGTCTACGTGAGCAGTACGTCCGGTGTGGGCAGGAGTGAGGCAAAGCTGGTGAAAGGAAACTGTTAGTGGCCTAGAGGTGAGAGGGCAGTCAGGGTTAGGGATTTCCAGAAGGTGGGGGACGACTGGGAGAGCACCGGGCCTCTGCCCCTTCTCCCCGCTCTCCTTTGTTCTTAGAGTTCCGTACTAGCGGGGACAGCCCGGGGCTCGGTGTATGGCCACGGAGTTACAGCGTCCGGACTCCATGCCCTGTCACAACCAGCAAGTAAACTCTGCATCAACCCCATGCCCGGAGCCATTGCGACCTAGCGACCAGAACCCGGATCATGCCGAGGGAAATAGCGCTTCTGTGGCCAAGCTGACTCTCCTCACCGGGCACGCCCATTCTAGCGTGCCGGCTGAGCAGGCTTCTCAGGCCTGCGGCAGCGCCAACCTTAACTCTGAGTGCAACAGTGACAGTGGAGACACACCTCAGGGCGACTCCCTCCTAGGGGATTGCGAACTCTCCAGGCAGATTGGGGCGCAGCTTAAACTACTGCCTATGAACGATCAGATCCGGGAACTGCAAACCATCATCCGGGACAAGTAAGCCCAGAGCGGAAGGGAAAGGGAGGTGGAAGGTCCACGCGGGGTGGGCGGGGTTTGGAAGTAAAACTGGGAAGGGATAGTGTTCTTGAACTTGGCACAACTGGTTTTAGGAGAGTTGGACAGGGCCTTTTCTTTGGAGTGTGTAATGTGTGCCTGTACACGAGGTGACACATTCCTCCAGCCCTTTCCTAGTTCCCGCATTCAACCTGCTTTATGTAGTGACCTTTCAAGTAGCCTCTGGTCTCTTCCGGCCTCTTTGTTTTTCTCAGGGATGACGAATCTCAACCTTTCCAGGCAGTGAACGCCCCTAAGTTATCTGCCCAGTGACTGTACACGTGATAAAATTTATAATCAAGAAATGGTTACTACCTATAGTTATGCATCAACACCAAATAACTCAGGCTCATGAATAGAAGTAAAACAATTTCTCGGAAATTCTATTGTACTCCATTAGCTTTCTGACCCTTCAGTTTTTGCTACGGCAAATATGTCATTTTGTTTTAGGTCTTGGAATTCAGATTTATCTGATCACATGAAAGCTTATCATCCAGCTCTTATCAAGTTAGTTTTATTATAAAGTTTCACAACATAGTTAACAGATCAAAGGGACCTAAAGAAGCCTTTAACCCCTCCTAATCCCACAAACCAATGTAGCCAGAATATAATTCTAAAATGCTATTTGAAATTTTACAAACCCATGTTGTATATGGGTTTTTTCAAAGGTAATAATGCACCATAATGAACTACAGCTGATTTCTTTATTAACAGCATTTTTCCTTTTCCTTTTTTTTTTCTTTTGAGTCTTGCTATGTTGCCCAGGGTGGCCTCCAGCTCCTGGGCCTCAGTCTTCTAAATAGCTGGAACTACAAATGCATGCTTGCTGTCACACCAGACTCCAATTAGTAGCACATTAAATGAGTAGCTACAGCATGTCAGAACACCATCTTTTCGGTGGTGGGGGAATGCCTTAGTCTTTTTAAAATCTACTGTGTGTCAGGATACCATAAGGCTGTTCTTTTTAAAATTTTTTTAATATTTACTTTTTAGTTATAGGTGGGCCCAATATCTTAAAAAAATTTTATGTGGTGCTGAGGATCGAACCCAGTGCCTCACGCATGCTAGGCAAGCACTCTACTACAGAGCTACAGCCTCAAGGCTATCTATTCTTAACATACAGCTTTGATTTGGTAACTGCCCTACTCAGTAGCCTTCTTTGGCTTCTCAATGCCTACCAAATAAAGTCCAGGATCCTTGGCTTGACTTTAATACCCCCCACCCCCAGTCCCCACATAGTTTCTAGGAACTATTATGAAACATCTCTGCTTCTGTTTTCTTCTGGAATTCCCTATATCCCCTCCATACATGTTCAGATCTTACCTCTTTTTCAAGGTCAAACCCATTTCCATCCACCTTTGTCTCTGCCAGGAAGCTTTCCTTTTAATCATTCATCCTGGCCTATCTCCCTTGGCCTTTTTAATGTTCCATTGGCCTTCTGTTTTGCATATTGTTACTTGTGCATTGATCTTTTCCTGCCTATGAGGTTTTAAGCCCCTTGAGGGCAAAATTTTTTGTTTTTGAGTTCCAACCATGTCTTTCAAGAAACAGATACTCAATTACTAAAGATTTTTCTAGCTCTTAATATTAAACTATCCTAGTAACTGTTTATAATGAATCAATGGTAAAAACTTCTTATTATGTGACCTAATAGATTAAGTAGTGATCTTAAATGCTTTGCTAAATTAAAACATATGTGACACAAAGAAAATAGGATGAAAATTTTTGTTTCTGTAGAACAGGAGTTAACTAACATTGGGTCTTGTGTCCCACTTCACCTGTGGATGAATTTCAGGGATTTAGTCAACCCTAAGAAACTGGCTGGAATATTTTATTTATATGTGCATTTTTAATGGTTGCTTTAAAAACAATATATTTATTGAGACATAACTCATTCACCATACAATTTGAGCATTTGAAGTGCATAGTTTAATGGTTTTAACTATGTTCATGGCTGTGTATCATCATATTCTACAATTAGTTTTTGAACATTTTCATCACTCCAAAAAGAAACTTCATACCCACTTTCCATTTCCCTTCAATCCCTCCCCAAGCTCTAGACAATTACTGATCTACTCTGTATCTGCTTTGCCTCTTCTATAAATTTCTTTTTAAATTTGTTCTTAACTGATACATAACATAAACATTACACATTAATGGGGTGCCATATAATGTTTAATACACATACATACACACTACATGATGTTTCAATCAGATTAAATATATCTATATATCCAAACATTTGTCATTTCTCTATGGCAAAAACTTTTGAAACCCTTTATTCTAGCTTTTTGAAATGTACAGTATATTACTGTTATTTATGGTCACCCTACAGTGCAATAATAGTATACCAGAGATTCTTGGTCCTATCTAACTTACATTGATCAAATTTTTTCTTATCCCTTCTCCCATCCTATTTTTCCTAGCCTCTGGTAACCACCATTCTATTGTCAATTTCTACAAGATCAATATTTTTTAGATTCTACTTACGAAAAAAGATCATGCAGTACTTCCTATTCGGGACATTTCAAATAAAAGAATCTCTTCTGGGCATGGTGACACATACTTGTAATATCAGCTGCTCTGATGGCTGAGGCAGGAGGATCACAAGATTGTGACTGGCCTGGGTAACTTAGCCAGACTCTGTCTCAGAATTAAAAAATGAAAAAGGCTAAGAATGTAACTCAGTGCTACAGCTCTTGCCTAGCATGTGTGAAGCCCGGGTTTGATCTTGTACACATAGAACACAAAAGGAATCATACTATATGTGATTCTTCTATGACTGTTTTCTTTTAACATAATATTTTCAGGCATCAGCCATGTTCTATCAGTTTATCATTTCTTTTTATATCTGAAGGGTATTCCATTGTATTATATATTGTAGTTTGCTTATTCATTTAACATTTGATGGACATTTGGGTGGTCTTCATTCTTCTGCTATTCTGAAAACTGCTACTATGAGCAGTTGCTTATGTTCCTTTTTTAATAAGGTGAGGATCCTTAGATTTCATTACATTTCAGAGAATCATAGTAATGTAAAGGTCAAGAACCATTACTATTGAGCTGGGAAAGAGCATGACATTCAGCATTTACATATGACAATATCTTTACATACCTGAATATATTTCAAGGTTTTTTTTTATCTTTGTGTTCACTCTCTCCCCCTCCTCCCCCCCACCCCCCTCTGCTGAAGATAGAACTCTGGGCCTCTTACTTGCTAGGCAAATGCTCTACTGCTGAGCTACATCTCCAGCTCACTTGATTGTACTTTATTACAAAAGCTTGGGTTAGATAGTAAATCTGGGTGTAAGTAGAATCTTTTTCTGAGTTTGGAAGGAGACAGCAGGATTCAGAGGATCCTGCAAGATGTTTTAGCATCTCTGTGCTTCAATATATTTTCATTTGTAAATTAAGATTTTGGGTACTACCTCATGGAGCTCCGGGCAGGCTAAAACAAGATACTGTCCATGGACATTTGTTATTATTTGTGAGGAGCTGTGTACATTTAAGGCATTCCAAGCCTTCAAATTTGGATTTGTGTACTTTTCTTATTAAAACAATAAAAGGGGGCTGGGAGTATAGCTCAGTGGCAGAGCACTTGCCTAGCACATGCAAGGCCCTGAATTTGATCCCTAGCACCAAAACAAAAAACAAAAACTAACAAGGCAGTAAAAGGAATTCAACTGCTGATAGAACTCACATTCTTCTTTTGAAAATTACTGAGATTCCTAGATAAATGTTATTATACTTTGCCCTGAATTTGATCCCTAGCACCAAAACAAAAAACAAAAACTAACAAGGCAGTAAAAGGAATTCAACTGCTGATAGAACTCACATTCTTCTTTTGAAAATTACTGAGATTCCTAGATAAATGTTATTATACTTTGATGCAGTGCAGAAAGACCCACTATAATTTTTGATAAGCCGAGGCTTATTTAGACTGGGGACAGTGTTTTTAGATTTGTTTTTGTTAACTGAATCTGTTAACAGAGGATTTCTCCTCTGTCCCTTTTCTTCAAAAAATTGTCATCCCTCACATAAACAAGACCTGTTTCAGCTTCTGTATCAGGCTGAGGGGGTGCTTATGATAAGAAAAGCTATATTTATGTAGGTCTGGTTATGGAAGTTGCCGTTGATTGTCATGCCCTGTTCAGGCATGTGAACAGCATATGTGTGCACTATGGAGCCCTCTGATAATAGAAATCGTTGGAGTTCATGTTGTGTTTTTTTATTGTTCCTGATCTTCAGTATCCATCTAGTGAAGGGATTGCTTTATGAGTTGACTTTGGCATGTGAAACAAATTGATCCAGCATGACTGTATGTTGTTATTGTGTGTGTGTGTGTGTGTGTATGTATGTATATATGTGTGTGTGTGTATATATATATATATATACACACAACAAAATTGAGAACATTGTAATGATTTAAAATGACTTTTTGTTTTGAAATGTGATATTTGAAACATAATATGTTGGCCATATTATTAAATTTCACAGAAATTATTTTCTCTGTGAGAGTGCAGCAGTCCAAACACCAAATGAGCAGATAATTTACTCAGCCATACATACGTGGGTCACTGGTGAACTAGGTAAAAGAAATGACTCCTTCATTTCCTTGTGTTTTTATTGTTGTTGGAGTTTTTCTTCTCATTGTTGTTGACATGGTTTAAACCACATCTCCTTCCCTTCTTGCCTCCTTTATATACTAAATCAGTACAGTCTGAGTGTACTGTGCTTTTTCCCTTGAAGATAGTTCATGGCATCATATTTAAAGCAGTGAGTATATTTAAAATTTCGCCTTCCTTGCCCAGTTTTTTGTTTTGTTTTGTTTCCTGGAAAATTATAATAAAGCTGTTTTGTGAGCTGTTGAATATATCCTATGTATATACTTGTCCTAGGAGGGACTTTCATATGTCCTCTACAGGTTGCTTGGATGAGAGTTG